GTCAATATCAAGAGGAGCATTGCTAGTGCTTTTCAAGCCAACTACAAAGAAACAGCTATTGCTAATGAAACTGATTCACAATCAAAACACAAGTCACATTACAAGTAAAAGATAATATTATTTTTATAAAAAAATAATATTTTTTACCACATTCAATAATACATACATGTATGACACTGTTTTATTATGTAAAAATTAAATCACTTAAATTAAATTAAATTAAAGTATCAATTTCCAGATACAGAATAACTTTTTATGATTACACGTACATTAATTTATAACAATTAATAATTAATGGTTATTGTTTTTGCCTTAGAATCATCCAAACAAACTCTTTGTTGATGAAGTCCTAACAGTTCAAAGGTCACTGAAGAACAAAGGACTGATTGTTCCTGAGGAAGAAGTACAAGTGTTTATCTATTGGTTACATCATTACTCCAGTGTTGTTGTACTCTTGTAGATTCAATTAGCATGGAGTCACGCATACAGGCTCCACTTCTTGCAACAAACACAACAGAAAGCACACAATTGTCAGAAAGGATTTCTGTTAAGACAACATAGCCCGCAAGTGAGATACATGATTTATTTCAAAAAATGGCTCTAAAATCACTCCAAATTTTTAGTACATTTTCTAATATGTATTGATGTCCTTATGCTGTGCAGCAAGTTTGAAGTAATTCCGACAAATATTTTTCGAGTTATGAGCATTTTTAAAATTGAGCCATTTTCTGAAAATTACCCAAGGCTATTATAGCCCATGGTTTTTTCAAAAAGTGGCCCTGAAATCACTTCAAAATTTTATTACATTTTCTAATACATATTGATGTACTTATGCTGTATAGCAAGTTTGAGGTAATTCTGACAAATATTTTTCAAGTTATGAGCATTTTTAAAATTGAGCCATTTTCTGAAAATTACCCAAGGCTATAGCCCATGATTTTTTCAAAAAATGGCTCCAAAATCACTCCAAATTTTTATTACATTTTCTAATACATATTGATGTCCTTATGCTGTGTATAAAGTTTGAGGTAATTCCGACAAATATTTTTTGAGTTACGACCATTTTAAAAAATTGAGCCATTTTCTAAAAAATACCCAAGGCTAAAGCCCATGGTTTTTCCAAAAAATGGTTCCAAAATCACCCCAAATTTTTATTACATTTTCTAATACGTATTGATGTCTTTATGCTTTGTAGAAAGTTTTAGGTGATTCAGACAAATATTTCTCAAGTTACGACCATTTAAAAAGGCGTCAAAATTCTGAAAAATTTAATTTTCTTTTGTGTATTTTAGTTTGCTTGCCCTGAGGTGACATTCTTTTGGCGAGTACAGCAAGTAATGTAGAGTTCCGCCCGCACACTCAAAGTACAAATATTAGACAGGGAAGGTATGGCTCTTAAGTATTAGCTCTATACCATATAGATGGAAAAGTTTGCAGGAATTATATTTTGTGATTTTGTACCAATTTAGAACATTTTAATGTGTACAGAATTTAATTTTGCTGGTGTAGGCATGTACTGTTGGTACACCTATTACCTATAATGCTTTGCGGAATTAAATTGTGCGTTTTTATGAAGCAAATTAAATTCCAGCAAATATTTTCAGCTATATGGTACTAGGCTCACATATGAAATACTTTATATTATAGTGAGACAGCTTGAGCAGCAGCTAAAGATTATTTTGGATAACATTGGTAATGATGAGAAAAGGAAGAGGGATCTTATTAGAGGCAATGCTGTGGACAAAGCTGAACAACTTAGTGAGTTTGATGTGTTTTATGATTGCTAGAGTAACGTATAGTACTTTATTTTGGCAGTACTTCATTTTGGTAATTTTGCTGTAACATTTGAATCAGTAGTTTTTGATTTGGCAATTTTTTGTGTACAAATGCATTACTGAGCATGTACAGTACATGTACATTGTACATCAATAATTGGCAATTCTGCTTGCAAACCGTCAATTGCCAAAATATAACTTTGCCGAATTAAAGCACTATACAGACTGTATTGCTTGACTTGCCCATCGTTTTTGTATAGAGCAAGTCCGTTTGATACAAGAAAAGTTGGACTCATTTCGACAGTCACTCCTGAAGCAGCAGAAAAGACAAACAAACTAGTTTCAATATCTCATTTCTTTGTCTTAAATTGGCATGAAAACAAAAATATTACCCATTTTGGTATAATATGATGTGTATGGTTTTAATTTGCAATAACACTAGGGTAGTTGCAGTTTCTTGTATTGCAAATACACATATACTGTAAACACTGTCCATTAATTTTAACTATATATTTAACCATTGACCTACTTTTGTTAAAGTTAATGGACGTAAATATAATTGTCAATGTACAATATACCCACCATTGCAAAAATGTTAAACATAAAAGTCATTAAATTTCTAGGGTTTACAGTATAAGTAACTATTATCAATAGATGTATATCATGTGCTGTTTATGAGTGTATTTCTATACCTGCTCCATCTGGAGCTTCCTGCTTTGTTATTATGCAAACATGTCAGCCTTTATGCAACTGTTATCAATAGATGTACATGTATATACATCACTGTTTGTGATCCACTGCTTTGTTATCAGATTATGCAAACATGTTCAGCCTTAAGCAACTGTTATCAATAGATGTATGTGTGTATATGTCACTGTTTGTGATCCGGAGCTGCTTTGTTATCAAGTTATGCAAACATGTTCAGCCTTAAGCAACTGTTATCAATAGATGTATGTGTGTATATGTCACTGGTTGTGATCCGGAGCTGCTTTGTTATCAAGTTATGCAAACATGTTGAGCCTTATATAACTTGAAACCTAAACCTTGCCATCTTCAGTTGAGTCAAGACAAACAAGAAAAATGAGACTGATTGTATTTTTAGTACTGGCTTTTGTTCTTTTCTCTTCTACCAGTGATGCTGGAGCTGCTGCTAAGAAAGACTACAGGAAGATCGGTGATTGCAGTAAAGTAAGTGCTTCATGCATGCAGCCATTGTGGTTTTATTTTGTATATTTCTTTATTAGAAAGCTAGTATGACTTGCACATACAAGTACAGTGTTGATGGAGAAGTGAAGGGAGGAGAAGACACTCATATTACTGCAAATGTTGACATATTCTGTGAATCAGGTCAATACAGTAACATTAATACTTTCATTGATGCATAATTTTATAATATACATTGATTTTTAATATTACAGTTGGGGTGATTTTAAAAAGGAGCCAGCCATTCGTTATTGTATCAATGTCAGAGATGCTGTGGGTCGAATATCTAATAAAGAGAATAAATATAATTCAGAGTAAGAATGAGAAAATACCTTTTAATATTATAATGATTTTATTTCATAAACTGACCTAATTTTCTTCCTATATTCTCGAAGTACTGAGGCTCCAATCAAACACTTGGATAAATTCTTCTGTTTTGCCCAGAGCACTTCCAGTGGTAAAGTATTGGGCGTTTTTCATCCTAAAAGTGAAAAGGAGTGGGTTGTTAATATCAAGAGGAGCATTGCTAGTGCTTTTCAAGCTAACTACAAAGAAACAGCTGTTGCTAATGAAACTGACTCTCAATCAAAACACAAGTCACATTACAAGTAAAAGATAATATTGTTTTTATAAAAAAACGTGCCTTTCCATGTGGTTTCTTTTGTGTGTACTGTGTAGGTATTTCTCTGAGGGCAATAAACAGATTCAAGAAAGAAGGATTGACTCTCGTGATGTGTCAGTTTATGCTGGAAAGGCTTCCATTGAAGATAGAAAGGGAACTCTCTACTTTCATGAGCACGATAAGCTTGAAATAGACAGCGAGAGAAGGATACAATTTTCTGAAGGGAAATCAGTCCTTGAGCTTGGAGCAGAGGAAGAGGATAAAGCTACTGCATCAGATACCAATGATAAAGCAGTGCCTCCACTGGGAGCTATCAGTGATTACAAGCTCAAGCTGTCTCGCTGCTATAAACCACCAAGAAAAGATCTTGTAGAAGGGCTCACCGCTGTAATGGCCAGCAGTGAGTGTGCAGTTGGGGATATTTTGGCTACAATTGATGAAGGTATAATAACTATTGTTTTGGTTGCTGCATAATGTGCATATACAGTCAATTGCAACAATAACACAGTCAATAAAACAATGTATGCATTTGTACAATCCAGTGTATACATTTCGAAGGTCTTTGTTCCAAATGCATACTTTAAATTTGTAGTTGAAGCTGATGCAGAAGCAATGCAAGAGTTAACTAATGAGCTACCATCATTGAATAATATACAAATATAGATATATAAATATAAAATAAATATGAAACTGTACCATCATTGATGATACATTTGGGAATATTTTGTTTACTATCAATGAAGGTACTGTATAGTACCAGTATATTGTTTTGATTTTTTGATTTGATGCACTGATGATTGAAAGAATAACACTTAAGCAAAAGCACATTGTTGTTTTTAGTTGAAGTTGATGCAGAAGCAATGGAAGAGTTGAGTAATGAGTTACCATCTTTTGACGAGTCAGTCAAGCGAATACAAAGAGATACTGAATCAGAAGAAGCAAGTATGCAACAAATATAGTATATACGATTGATTTCATGTTGGCATTTTTCTATCATGCTGAGTAGTACAGTTAGTGGATAAGTGGAGGAAATTATTAAAACTTGAGTCTAAGAATGGAGCATTACCTGGTACTAGAGAAAAACTACCACAATTACTGCAAAGACTCAATGAGGTACATGCCAATGCATATAGTTATAGGAATTTGATTACTGGTATTATGATTGAATATGACTTCAATATAACATGTAGATAGAAATGGAGGAAGAATCAAGTGATGAGAGGGTATTGATATATCATTTGTTAAGCTCTGTAGGCAACCTGGAATCACAAAAGGTATTTAATGATTACTGATGTACAAATTTATACTATTTTCATATTAGGCACTGTTAGATATGTTAAAGGTTCATTCAGATTCATATTTAGAAGTCACTAGCTTACTGGTTGAGATTGCTTTAATGCCTTCTGTTCATTCCAGTACTGTAGATTCTCTAATCAGTCAATATGAGTCTTTAAAATCAAATGACTATGTTGCTAATCAGCTCATACTTTCTTTGGGTACACTCGGTCGTCATACTAATGTTGAAGATAAGATTGTTAAGTATTTGTCTGTGAAACTAACATCAGCAATGACTCCAGAAGAGACCTCAGTTCTTATTCATGCTCTTGGTAACACAGCTTCTAAGAAAATAATACCAATTCTCGAACCTTTTATTTCCGATGATACTTATCAATCCTACACCATCGATGCTCTGAGAGGAGTCTCAATGGATGGTGCAGTACAGAAAGAGTTTACTACACTTGTCACTGAGTCCCTGCATCCTCAAGTAGTTCTAGAAGTGGTTGAGAGTTTAACATCTCCATTCAAAAACTCACTTTATTCATTCAAAATCAAAAAGGATTATGATGCTTCTCAAGACCTCAAATCAGCACTAATCATAGCTGGTATCAAATACAAGGAAGATGAACTGACGAATTCTCTCAAGGAATACTTCACAGCCATTAATGATAAGACTTCAAAGAAAATCCTCCAAAAAGGATTAGAATCAAACAACGTTGCTGCTGGCCGTCAAAAAAGAGCAACTACTTCACGGAACTGGTCCTCAAGTAGCAATCGTAACTACAATCTCATTGAGTCACTGGCTCA